ACTTGTAAACGAAAAATAAGTAACATAGTAGATTTCCCTAGTAAAGACATGTTTGCTTCATCGATAATTCCACCAGAGAATACGAAATGGGAAACTTTCCTTGTAATGCACATCTGCCCTGTAACCCAAGGGCACTAGTGAAAATGTAGCCTAGTGGCTAATGCGTCGGGGTAATACGCTGCAGTGTCATGGTTCGAGTCCTGCTAAAGGTATTAATAAGATTTCGGCGAGGCAGAACTGCAGTTTACCCTGGATAATAATAAATTTTGGAAAAAGGAAGGCCATGTGAAATTTAACGGAAACGTCATGTCTACTCAGATCATTGAGAAAATTCAACTATAAGTCCCTTTATCACGAAACAGGACGAATACATCCCATATGTATGATATATTAGTGGTCTAGAGAGTCTACTTATAAGCAGAAAACCATTTAATAACAGGAATAGACATCGCCAACAAGAGTATCATGAGGAACAAATAAAATTCAAGAAATGCGAATGCAGTAAGAAGAGGCAAATCTGGAATCAGACCGAAGTAACCGATGTGGGTCCACTTATGAGATATGGAACAGGAAATGACAGGTTAGAAACACGCAAATTATGCATAATTAGAGGTGTTAGGTCAAAGATACATGTCTCTATCGAATTTATCAGGGTGTGAATGTCGACCTGGGGTGCACAATATCACTTGGCCGCCAATGTGTATGTGTGTGTCTTAGTGAGAGGCGATTGGTGACATGTTCGACTAAGAGGAATACCAAAAGAACTTACACATAAACAACTGACTAGAACATTAGGATTGGATGGGCCTGTCAACCTAAAAGAGAAATTTTCCTTACGCGATTCAGGAGTGGAAAAGGGAGAAGGATTCATTTTTACACCATCGGTTAGGAATTAAGCCAGACACAGGCCCCCAAAGAATGATATACAATTAGGGTGGGGATAAGAAAGATGATGATTAGGTGATGGGTCTGAAACCTAGGGGTAAGAAGATGCCTAGGCATCGGAATCACCGGCTTTAAGTCCTCGAATATGGCGTAAACGGCGACGGGAATTGAAGGCTCCTATGCTGCCAGATTTCAGACCGCAAGACAGTGACTTTTATATTCCGTAGAGATACATTTACAAGTGGGGTGGAAAGAGGGGGCTAAATAAAAATAGGAAGCCCTGTAAATTGCATCAGAATCAGGCGGTGAAGATGATTATGCTTCACTAAATTTACTTGAAGCGACACAATTAGGCGAAATTTGAGGAAACAAGAGCGCAGAATAGTGTGAATAGGTAATAGAGCGATCTGAAGTGGGATGGAGAGAACGAGATGCAGCACTATAAGGTAGGACAAAAACTAGGAGCGAGGAGTGATGCCACAATGGTTGAATAGAAATTTGGTCAATGCGATTGCCTTCACTTGTCACTTTGATAAGTTGTAACTGTGTCAACAATGGTGCCTCTGACTGACGATGCCCATTACAATGATTGGGAAACGTTAGGGAATGTACCAAGTTAATGGTCCGATGCTGGAAATCACGAAGACTATGGCAGAGGACTTCGGACATGGTGAATCCACCCAATTTGCCCTGACAGCAGGACCATGTTGTGAAAACGGAGTCAACCCACTTTTATCTCATTATTTGTTTATAAGTAGGCTTTTAAGACAACCAGTACATCGTATACATGAGATGTATTCATCCTATTTCCTTAAGAGTGATAAGAGGACTGGTAGTTAAATTTTATCACAAGAATATGAGTAGGCATGACGTTTCCACTGAATTTTACATATCCTTGTTTTCCTAAAAGTTATTCTTATCCAGGGTGGACTGCAGTTTCGACCTCGCCTAGGTCTTACTAGCACCTTTAACGGGACTCGAACAATGACACTGCAACGTATGATCTCAACACGTTAACCACTACGCCACACTGCCATGATTGCCCTTGCTGTGTCATGGTTCGAGTCCTGATGGTAGTGTTGATAAGACCTAGGAGAGGTCAAAACTGCAGTCCACCGTGGACAACAATACTGTTTGGCAAGGCAAGGCAATGTGAAATTCGATGGAATCATCATGTATACCCATATCAATATAGGAAAATCAAACTACCAGTCCCCTTATCACCTTAAACGAAATGAGATGAATACATTTCATATAATGGTCTATCTTGCCTTTAAAAGATAGCAAGAATATTTGAACAGCTTATGCTTAAGCTATCAAAAAATACTTAAATATTGACTCAACATAAGGCTCCTATTCTTGGTAGCACTAATTTGAAACTGAACCAGACAAAGCTGTGCGTCAACTGAGAAGTAACGCGTATACTATGAGAGAGGAATTACAGAGCCTACAAATATTGCGATTAATGAAAGTTATTTACAAATATAGGTGCATTATTAACTGATATTGGTTCCGTATATGGTATCAAGGTGGGGCCAGATCATGCGCTTTGTAGGAAGGAAACATTAATGTGCTCCAAGATATGCAATCGGATCGAAAAAAAACTCACTTTGTAAACATTGAAGAGCTGCTTTAGGTCATCCGAAGAAAGAGGGGACTCGCGCTCCAGACTCCTGACCACATCTCTAGCCATAATATCACCGAATGATTGAATAACCATGAGACGACGTGTGATTCGGAGATAGTTGATGCGTTCATTGTTAACCTGAGAAAAGTTTGCGTAGGCGTCTCGAATTAGGTCATGCACATGCTCCCGGAATACTGGCACGATGACATAGTCATTAGCATCCGGAGTCGAACTAGGGCACGTCCCCTGAATGTGGTGCCAATGTGGAACGTTATTGGAGGTGGTTGACGCTTTAGACCTATCACCGAGGGAAGAGCTATACTGAATTATGTCTTGATCTGATGCTTCTTCAAGATCAGCTGGTCTATGCATTTCATTGCAGTGAGGAGACACGGAATCAACTGTAATTGCCTCGGCTGCAGATAAGGATGCAGAGTTATTAGAAGGCTCATATCGCGCAGGGGATTGAGGATTCGAATCAAAGGGCGTCAGACTTAGGAAATAGCGGTTCATGTTCAAAATGATCTCGCTACCATCGTCCTTAGCCAATCCGTGCTCTATCATCTCTTGGTTGCGGCGAAACAGCTCAAGGGCCACTTGAAAGATAACCTGGTGGACACAAGATAATTATAAAAAAAGAATTAAGAGGCCCAGAAACGGCTCACTGTAAAATTACTTTGCCTTTATTTGCGCTATTTAACGGCATATTTTTATGTAAATATTCACAAGAGATGTAATAAAATCTTAGTTTGCACAATTTACATCAAACGAATTAGAATCATACTAACTCGTCCAAACAATGTATAACACATATACTCTTTTATAAAAAAACGAAGTAATTTAGACGAAGTTATGGAAGGATGATTCCTCTAAGATATTAAAAATATCTTATATCCTATTAGAAATGGGTTGACCTCGTTGTCGCAACTTGGTCTTTTTGTAAGGGAGACTTAGTAGAACGCATCTAGTCCAAGGTCGTCTGCCATAGTAATTGTCATAAGTCCCAGCATCAGACAGTGGACTTGATACATTCTCAAACGCTTCGCCGCACCAAGCTACGAGCGCGTCAGACACAAGTGAAGTCAATCCCTAGACCAACGTTCAGCCAAACACGTTTACACTATCACTCTTCTTTCTGTCCTGGCATATCTATCTAATCTTTACCATCTTGTCAAAACTTCCGCCCTATCACAATTTGTCATTTGTTTACATTCCACTCGTCAAAATGTATGCCTTTTTGCGGCAAATCTAGTGTGGCCTCATCACACCTCTCTCTCCGACTCCCGCTCTTTCGATCGGCTAATCCGACTCGGACCTCCTATCCTTATCTCTCTCATGATCCTGTAGATCCATTCCTTATCTTTCTGGTTGACCGATTTCACTCGATTCCAGTCCCAGTGCGCATTTTACTCTAGACGCTAATACTCAAGACCCTAGAAACACGTACACTGCCGCCTCACCGAGAAGAGCACCTAGGCTCTGATTGCCATGTTTGCAGATCTCAAGCAATGCCTTTACAGGTCGTCTTCTTGATTAAACCCGAGTAACCTGAGTAAACTGTGGATGCTTATCTCTGGTCGCATGCTGAATCTCTAATGGATTTCTGGTAAATTTTGGTCATAACGTCGAATTTCTGTGACGGTTTGCTTATCCGTCCGCCTTAATTCCAGACCCCAAAGTTGTACTGGTTTATTTGAAATCGACATCACTCACTGACAACGTCTTCGCAAACTGGGACTGGGACTGGAACCGAGTGAAATCGGTCAACCAGAAAGATAAGAAGTTGTTTGACCTTGTTTTCGCAACTCGGTCATATTGGTAGGAAGACTTAAAGAAACGCACCTA